GATACGACTTGACTACTGGGTGGCTGACTGCATGAACTGCATGAAATGCATGAGAGTGGATTACTTGCAGTTGTTTGGCCAAGTTGGCTTCGCTGTCCTTAGTGCTTCAAATAACACTCTCAGTCTTTGACTTTAACCGCATGGGGCGGAGCGAGCGGTTCTTTCTTTCCCTGGGTGAGTTATGTGGCACAGCAATCAGGCTCTGTTACAACGGTGAGCCTTCAAGGCAGCTTGAACCGACATATGATTCAATAAATACACCAATCACAATTCCATGTTATTTCCTTTTATCGCTCTTTCTTTCCCTTGCCCAAAAATGCCTTGGAATTCATTGAACTTGACACATTGTTACTTTGTTAGCAATCCCGAGCCCGAGGCCGAGCCTGACCGTGCCTGCCTGGCGATACCTTAGACTGTAGAGGAGCTAAAGAATTATAAACGCGCTAGCATTTTCAGCCGAAGAACTCCATCATTACAGAATTTAAAGTATTATTTCTCTTGTTGCACTGTGAACGCCAAATTTCAGCATCGCGGCGATGATGATGCGGCGGCGACGAAGCTCATTCTTTCCCTTAGGATTATGGCCCTGAAAGCCCGCGATGTCCTCATAGCTGCATTCATAGCTTTCGTCGCCTGGGGCTTCCTTATCAGCTGGGCTCCCATCCTCCGCTTTCTTGGTTATGCCTTCATTGCTGGGTCGTCAATTACTCTCCTTGCCATTGGAGCGTTGGTGCTGCTCAGCACGAGAAAGAAGCAAGATGTTGGGCGTTTGGCGAGAAGACCTCCGAGGACCGCAGCCTTTATCGCACCGAAAGCATGGAAGGAGGAGACCGAATGGCTTTCGACCAAGGCCATTTATAGAAGGACTCCCCTATACCCCCCCTCTTTCATGATATCGGACTGCCTAGACGGCTTACTTGACTGGATCCTCCGAGACTACGTTACCTCCTGGTACAGCAAAATCTCTCCGAGTTCCAACTTCGTCAACGAGATCGAGCGTGCAATAAGGATCGCATTGATCAACATCAGTGACAGACTCTTTGCGGTAGATGTGGTGGAAATTGCGGTCTCAAGGGTTGTCCCACTGGTCACAGCACATCTGAAGGATTTTTACGATGCCGAGAGGACAGTCCGAGGCAAGAACCTCAATCGCACTGTCACGGAATCCGACGAGCTCGACATTGCGATAGCTGGCAAATACCGTGATGGCAAATTACATCCTGCAGCCTCGCTTGCTTACTCGGATCTAAAGCTCGTTCAACAAGAGTACTTGCGCAGGATCATTGTTCGGCTCCTACCAGAAGTCTTGCCCGAGAGTATGATCAAGAGTAGAGCTGTTTCCGTCCTCATTAAAGAGATTATGTCATGCGCAGTGCTCGCGCCACTGATGCAGATGCTATCCGACCCAGATACCTGGAATCAATTGATGGAAGCCTATGGCCGGACCATGCTCCAGGATAGAAAGACTGTCCGCAAGCTTCGAGCTGCGCTGGATCAGCATGCTTCACCAGCACCAAAAGTCTCAAAGCCACACACTTTTCCGAGAATTGCTCCTGGTGACGATGAGCGCAAGTTTGAGCGCTTCATCAGGTCTATTCGACAATGTAACAATCTCTCGGAAGCGCGAAGGTTCCGGAGTGAGGTGGCTAGTCAATTGAAGCGGGAGTCAATGATGGAAGGGCAGGACCAGATACTTTTGCGCCGTTTGGATACCGGCAAGCAATTGCTTGATCAGAGGGTGGGCAAGCTGTCTGCCGTTGGAGGCACTTCAGGCTCTCGAATGCCTCAGCCAGATTTCCAAAAGGGTCAGAACACTTCAAGACTGCTGAATGCGTCACTCACGGAAGTTCTGCACGACGCGTCTGGTCTCTCGTATTTCATGGAGTATATGGACCGCCACCGACTCATGACATTTGTTCAATTCTGGATAGTCGTGGATGGATTTCGAAATCCTTTGGAAGAGGATCTACAAACTGATGATCCCTTTTCTGGAACCCAGGTGCAATGGACCGATTCGGATCGAACCGACATCGCCCAAATTAACGAGGCGTATTTGTCAAAAGCTGAGCTCAACTTGTCTGAGTCGACAAGGGAGGCTGTCCGAGCGTTCTTGAAAGCTGGCGCTGGAGCCACAGTGCCGGAGTATCTCCGAGCTCGAAGTGCTGTGCTGAAAGCGCAGGCTGGTGTCCTAGAGAAGATGGAAGAAGTTCACTTTCCAAATTTCAAGAAGTCCGATCTTTATTACAAATACCTGACCTCGGATGATGCATCTGCCAAGATGTCTTCAAGGCCGGCAAGAGCACTGAGGCAGCCGTCCGTGGCACCAATACTTGAATCTCCAAGTAGACCGTCATCTCTATCTCGCAAGGCAACTCGCTTCAACGCAAATGGGCCGGACCTCCGAAGAAATGCAAACTCAAACAGCGATCTCAAATCAATTGTCAAACACGCCACTGACGACTCGCAGTCTGTTCAATCACGTCGCTCGTTTGACGTAGATACGTCTGCGCCTCTGTTTGACGACGATATTGATGATGAGCCCCTCGCTCGTTCGACTCGAAGCCTAGACAACGAATCCTTGAATGGCGATCAAGCAAATAGAAACCAAGAGGAAATGGTTGAAGCCATGGAGGCAGCACTGAACAACATCATGATAGATGATCCAAAGGAGGACGACGCCAAGGATTCGATTTTTGAGACCCTAGAACCAAATTTCCTATCCACGAAGATCATGGATTCGCCACGAAGCTCGGGTGAACACAAGAGGACGGAGACCGCCTCCCATGAAAAGGGGCGAGAGCGGCCAAATCTGGCATCTTTAGGCCTTGTCAACACCTCGTCTCGGATTGGTGTATTCTCGGACAATGATCTGTTTGGCGATGAAGACAAATTCCTTGAAGACGAGCAAACGGACCCCGAGGTTTCTGCCGACGAGACAATGGAAGAGGAGATCCACCAAGCGGCGCCAGGAGATCTAGGACTAGCAGAAGCCATATCTGCCCTGACGGTCGATATTGAAAGACTAGCCGCTCAGGACTCTGTTGTCGACACTTTGACTCGGAAGGCCGAGCTCACGAATAACATTGCTGAGCTCCGGATTTTGGGCAAGTCGAAGTCAAGTCTACAGCGAGAGATACGTCGAAAAGAACTTCAACGGCAACAATATATTGTCCAAGAGAGTGACAACAGTCTTTATGGTCGCGCCAATGTTGACATCAAATCGATTATGGTTGGGAAAGAGGATGATGGGCAGGAGTTTGCTCTCTATGTCATTGAGGTACAACGAAAGGCCGGAGAGAACATGTCTGCCGCGTCATGGGCGGTTGCACGCAGATACAGTGAATTCCATGACCTACACCAGCGTCTTCGCAATATCTACCCTACTGTCCGGAATCTCGAATTCCCTAGGCGGAGGCTGGTCATGAAATTGCAACGAGATTTCCTCCACAAACGGCGCGTATCGCTCGAAAACTATCTACGAGAACTCCTACGTCTACCGGCCGTTTGCCGCAGCCGAGATCTTCGTGCCTTCCTCTCGCAATCAGCGATCATTTCCACCACTAAAGACTCAACTCGCGAAGGTGAACGGCGCGATATCATTTCCCGAATCTACAACTCCGTGACGGACGGGATGGATGAATTCCTTGGTAACGTTCCTGTTCTCGACCAACTCTCCATCGCCGGTCAGAATCTTATCTCAGCCGCCACTTCCCAGTTCAATACCATGCAGTCCACGGGCAGCGGCGCTCCATTGCCCATTGCACCTGAAGATCCCATACAAACAGCCGAAGCCCGCGCCGAGCTTCTGGCTTTCGATCCTAACACTAACAACACCAACCGTGCTGATCAACTTGAGCCTTTCGTCAAACCCATATGCGACATTTTCCTCGAAAGCTTCGATCTGCAACGTGGTAACAATTGGCTGCGCGGCCGAGCTGTCGTTGTAGTCCTCCATCAGCTCTTAGGCGGCACCGTGGAGCGCAAAGTTCGGGAAATGGCACGGTCAATGTTCGCGGAGCCAAGCGTACTCAAGTACATCAACATGCTCAAAGACACGATGTGGCCCAACGGCCAAATGCGGACAGAGACCGTGATTCGGACTGATCCCCAAAAGACGCACACAAGGGTGGAAGCAAGTGTAATGCTGGCGACGTTGATCCCGGATCTAGCAGGTAATGTGGTAGGAAAGGCCAACGCTCAAGCGGCGAGCAGAAGAATCTTTGCAACAGTTAATAATCAGCGTTTGAATACACATTTGGCTTTCACGATCTTCGACGAGGTTATTGATGTCCTTTTCCCCAAAGGAGGAATACGAGGTCTGTAAGATTTATGGTGGGGTAGGGGCAAATGGAGTGGACTGTACATCAGTAGCTCTAAGTGCGCGGTACTCCAATATTAAATGTCTAATGTAATCCAGCATTTGGAACCCATTCGAGCAATCATCACAAGTTTGCTCGATCCCACTGACTCGTTTTTTCCTCGAAAGAGAGATCCATGATAACTCATCGTTTTCCATCTGGCTCTAGTGTAATCCCTAAGAGAATTTGCGGAATGTCGGCAGCGCTTCACTCGTCGTCGAAGACGTGAGTTAGCAAACCCCCAACTACCTCAGCCCGTCTCCCTCGTCTCATGCTCCCCGCCTCTCCTTTATCTGCGGTCCTTTGCTCCCCATATCTTGGCAGCGCCTGGCCACGGCGTACGGATAGCGGTCTGCATCTCGTCTTACGACCGGGAAAAGGTCTACGTGCTGCTGAATACCCTTGTACACTATTGACAAAGACCGACTTTTCGATGTAGCCGCCTTGTCGGACCATCAATCCAATGAATGCAGCGATTGGGAAGAGATTGGGGGGGGAAGGATCACTTTTGCTAGGAGAGCTCTGCAAGGGGATTTGTTCAACAGAATGGGAAAAACGAGGCGACCATTGCTCGATTCTAATCGGCCTTGGTGACCCAGAAAGGTTGATAGGTACAGCCGCTCAGGCTCCGATTTGGTTCTGTTATCCAGCAGAGGGTGTTGCGTCAGGGGGGTTCGGGCGGTAGAACCCATGGACACGTCTACATTCCAGAACCCTTCGCTCCATCTCATGATCGGCGATTTTCTGGTGGAACTTTCGCAGGTGCTCCCTGAAGTCTTGAGCTTTGTTGCTACGCTGTCTGGCGCAGCCTTCGACATTACAATCATTGTATGAGAACGATGCGTAGCGATCCCACTCAGAGCCGTTGCGCATTCGAAGCTGTCTTCTTCGTACCAGGATCCTCGCACACTCCGTGAGATCTTGCTGCACCTTGGGTTCCGCGAGGTAGGCGGCGGTAGCGACGTACATCTTTTCCAAAGTCATGCATCCTGGATTCTTGTCTTTGCCAGTCAGTCGGGTAAATTGGTGGCCTTTCCATTTGTCCAGAGCAATCTCTCCGTCGCGCTCGCCTCCGTCAAATCTAAAGTAGGAGAAGCGTTCTTTGTTGTCGTGCATTGAAAGCCGTTCCCTTTTCCGGTGCACTCCTACGCTCCTTGAAGGAAGCCTCAGCGCTGCTTGGAGGGTGGTTACGGCATTGTTGAAGTTCCCTTTCTTCTTAGAGAAAAAGTCGATTGGTGGAATGCCTGTCCCGATGCTGATGAACGGGCCCATGCATGTTCTGGCTCGTGCCTCCATGTTTGTCAGTAATGTCGAGGTATGCCTCCTCAGAAGGGGTATTGGATCCAACCCCTCCATCTTTGAATGCCACGGACCCTGGCATGTTGCCCCTTGGGATTTCGATTGGACGAAAGTACGTTGGCGCTGCTGAAGTGGCTCGAGCTACCTACCAAATGGGCAAGGCCACAGCATCGCCATATGTTCCGGTCCTGGTGTAACGCCCTCGGCTCTTGGACCGTTGTAGGGGTACATGAGCCTCGTATGTCCGGAACCGATAGGGAACGTCCACTCCGACGCTGTCCGCGTATGCAAGAACCATACTGGTTCAACTGACATCAGCACTGAGGCAGAGAAGCACTGATTGATGGTCATAACATCTGCACACATCTTCGTTCAATTTTACAAAAAGTGATGTAGGTATTCAAGGTTGCAACGCATGACGAGATTGCACAAAGTCACCAACCACTCGAATGTCGTGGCCTCAGAATTGACTGCTCCACAGCCTAGTGCGGCCATGTGGATGAAGCAGGCGTACTGTAAATGCTCGGTAATTGGGGGAAACATATGACCAAAGAGGAATAGGTGCTCATGTGTAATATCAGTTGAGAAGATATAACGCTGGACCGAGTACGGGTCTGATGGGGGCAATACTGACGAGGTGTAGAAGAGAGCATGGTGTGCAACCGTCTGGCTCAGGCAAATGGACTGTACAAACTTGCTAGTGCACTAGTGTATGGATCCCAGTCCGAAGCCCCTGTCACTGCTCCCGCGAAGTATAGGAAGAGTTCCCAGTCCGACCTGAAAGAGATGCTTGCAGGCAGTCACCGTGCATATGTAACAAAGACGGAGGAGAAGTGTAAGGGCTGAAGTGCGGACTGGCTTAACACCAGGTTAAGCGTGGTTTATCCTGCACTTCGGGGTGCGTTAATGCACCTCGGGGTCAGCTTAGACCCTAGAGACTAGAGTAAAGTTCCCGCGCTTGATGGTCCTGTTAATCTTTGGAGTCAGCAGAGAATTAACGTATGCCCGCATATGGCAGGAATGATCCTCATTCCATAACTCTTGTCAGCTAGACTCTAAGCCGATGCTGCTTTGACATGATCGCAGGCATGGCTGGCCGCCGCAGTAGCCCTGACGATGGACATCCAATGGCATCTAACCTACAGATGCAGCCACCTACTCTAGAAGTGCGGTAGGACTGCCGTGAGCTAATATAGGACACCAAAGTACTTGTGTGAGACAAAACAAAGCTCAGTTGTGTGTCGCAAGGCTGCCGTCAAGTAGAACGCGATGTGTCAATCTATCATGTCTGACAGCCTGTTGACATATGAAGTATGGGTTCTATGCAAGGCTGAAGAAAACAATGCCTCGAATGTGATTTGATCTTAGGTGGGTCTTATGTCGTCAGCCCGAAGGTGCCAAGAGCGTGACGAGCCCAGAAAGACCACTGCTGATGGAACCATGTCATGCTGGCGTGCCCTCGGCGCCAATCAAAATCAATGTCACGGCACCTTCCAGCTGAACTCTCACACTGACAGTTCGCACTGTCTCGTCTTTCAGTCTCGCTCTGCGTGTATATACCGAATTAATTGGCATATAAGATACTACCATATAGCCGAAGCGTCCATCTGATCATCGTTTGGAACCGTATTTTATATGTAAAGGGGCCTTATAACACTGTGGTATCGTATGGCCTAAGGCGCTAGTCAATAGCCTTATTAAGCTCGCTGTCGCCAATCAGAGAGCTCGGAGAGACGCTCTTTTTAGACGGGAAAATAATACCTGATTTGGGGGCGTAGTGTACCGCAAATGGCCTGTACCTACTCCGACCACTCATTATTTTACTTGCCTTGCTACTGTGAGGGTACTTCTGATTTTACCCTGGGGGCCTAGTACAATAAAGTACCATTACTCAGCAGGCTACTAGGACCCCTATCTTACAGTCTAATTATGGCCTACGTCTGAAAACCGTTATTTTGAACGGTATTTTATATGCAAAGGGGCCTTATAATGATGTGGTTTTTTATATGCCAATTAATTCGGTATTGCAGCAGCGTTGTTGCCGGCGAACAATGTGTTTTCGCGATACATCCAAATCCCATAGCTCCAATCGATCTCCCATGAGCAAAAGGTAGCCGTCTTTGACCCCGAGTCCAAGGATCTCCGGAGACTCCCCAGAAAGAAAATCGATGGTCTGTCGCTGTCCCCATGTTGCTGCTATTGAAAGGGTCTGAGAATTATGGTTAGCCTCGAAATTCGATACGGTGAATGTGCCGAGGTTGCGCCGCCAATTTGACGTGTTTGAGTCCAATGAGCTGGCCAAAGGGACTTCCCACGCATCGCACGCAATCGTCACCCGGCTCACGGATGAGATTGAAGACAAAAGCTTCTTGGCTCGACTGTATATCAGTCGGCTCGGTGTCACGTCTTAAGTGCAGCGGCTGCTGTCTTCAAAGCACCGAATCCTATACATTGCCCCTCTGGCAGATCATCCACTTCGCACGGATTCGGACTCGATATCAATTAATCTCTGACTCATAGTTCGGGTACATCCATGACTTTCGAAGGAATTGGAAATCCAAGGGGAAATGGATAGGGGAGAAATCAGGGGCACGAAGTATTGCAAGGTGATGGGCTTGTGAAGAACCGGATAGGCATCCAGAAGGGTTGGGGCCTTCTTTACGTGACGCTACTATGATGCGCTCACGTTAACCCAAGCAGATTCCGGTCTTTTTTATTGCCTGTGTAGAGCAGTCTTTTCTAGATTGTGAGCTAAAAAACACAGGGGGAACATATGAGAGATCCTGAGTCTACACATGATCAGTCTCGGTGACTCAATCACTCAATCATTTGCATGTCAAAATTCCAGCCTCAAGTTCGAGGTAATTAGCTGAATCTAACCAATCCTAAGCTGATTACCTGTGAATCGCTGTCTACGGAGTCTAACGCGTTGGCCGCATTCAGCAAGCCGCATTAATACATGGTTATAGAGAGCCTGCGGACGCTCTACCGGAAGACACCTCCATGACCTGGCCGACTCGTCCCCTGCAAAAAAAGACGATTTTCCAACCACCACTAGGTACCCAGTCTCCCAAGTCCTTAACGGAGCTTTCCTCTGAAGGTTATGCAGGGCAGAGGAGAGCCCGTTTCGCTAGGGTCTGGGTAGCAAAAGACCACCCGTACCCAGGAAGATTATCATCATGGGTGATCTTGCAATAACCCGACTCGGGGTAGGGTACAAGTATCTGGAGTAAATATGACTTGGTAAGTGCATGGTACACACGTTTGTAACTATGCTCTAAGCACGCGTGCCGTAGGTCACTCTAGGTCTATTGTAGCATGTTTCGTGGAGCTTGAGACCAGAGACAGTCAGATCCGAAGAGCAGCACGAACCAGGAATCTCGATTCCGCTTCTTCGGCCGCGATTTCTTCCCATCGTCCTGTGACTCAGCATTCGGTGTTCCTACGAAGGGATACAGTCAGCCTCAGCTCCACCATAAATTCCGGAACATCATTCTCGATCGCTTTCAGAGGCAAAATAACTTACCAATTCACCTCGCGGCAACTTCGCTAACCCATCACGCGCACGCGCGCATCGGCCCAACCCACAGCTGCCTATACCTCTTCCCAACCATCCGCAGAATGCCGGCACGCCACAAGCCTAACCGATAGAAGTGCAAACGGACCATGAAGCTTTTTCCCATCTCCGTGTCCTCATTGCGTGTAACGACAATGTAGGTACTCTCTGTATCAAGGCCGTTGGAAGCATGTATGTCGAACTTGGGATGGAGTGTCGGTATGTCGAGGATGATGAATTTGGCAGCTAAGGAAGTCAGCATCCCTATTTGTGGAAGGTTTTCCGCGGTGACATGAACGGACGATCAAGTTGAGAGACAGGGACGAGACAGAGGTTGCGATCTTCTGGGTCAAGGACCGGGACGCGGTCTTCAGAGCGCAGCTGTGCTGGGAGGAGGTTCATGTTTTGCTATTTGGACAAAGTGTTTGTAATGTGGAATGGAAAGTTGTTGAGTTACGAGGAAGAGGGCCGGCTGTGAAGCCTACTAGGTAGCTAATGTAGCAGTGGTGGCCAACCCTACAAGGCTGGGAGCATATTCCCACACGAAGTGCCAAGCTGAAGTTTCAGAAAGGATGCATGGGCTGTAGAAGAATGAGAGAGGATACCTGAACGCGGCCCAAGGGGCTCTTGCAGTTTCAAAGTTTCGCAGTGCAAATAAAGTGCATGATGTTTCGGACGCGTCGGAAAGCTTTATGCAGGCCGCCCGTTTTTGGACAAATCAACCATGTCGGATCATGAGTTCGGATTTTAAGCCTATGTTGTGACAAGTGCAGGAAAGATTCAAACCAGCAAACCCTCTTACCAAATTGCCACTCATGATACCATGGTGCGACGGGACTCTATTAAGGCAAGACCCTTCAAGAAGGAGGCTTCACTAGCATTGAGATGACTTCAGTAACATAAAGGATGTGGGGCACCGGAAGGAAAGACTTGATAATGTCTCGCTGAAGAACTTTCAGGCCATGGTCGCGAAGAAATGGACGGACGAGGAGAAGGCCAGGCGCCCGGCAGTCACTGCTCAGGTACTGGATGATCACGAGGCCAAGTTCTGCATCCAATCTGGAGACGAGATCGGAGTGCCCATGACAGCTTGGGTTGCGGTATACAGGAAGTGATGTAAACGTTGCTTCGCCGTGTTCAAGAGCCTTCGGTAGAACTGCAGCTACTTCACGAGCATACTTGTTGACTACAGCAATGATGTCTGCACCTTCTTGGCATTACGCCCGTAAGATGTGACAAAAGTTTGCTTAGACCCAGGTGTTTTTATAGCTACCCGGGGAAGGAAGCAGTCTTGATTCGCGAGAGTTTCCTGTCTTGACTTTTATTTCGGGAATCAGTTCGAAACAGTCTCGGTTTCAAGATGAAGATTGTTTGAGAAAGCATTAAAGAACCGGATAATCTTCTCTTCGATCCTGCTCTCCATCAATTTTTGGATAATTTGGGACCGCTGTCACTGTCACTTTCACTAATACCTTGCTTGTTATACAAACCTTCGCTGACGCATCAGCCCTTTCCTTGACCTTCCCGCATTTCTCTACGACCCCGGCGCTCAAATGAGCAATACTATCCGTTCCCGAAGTCTCGAACACCGATAAAGGCAACCCCAATTCTCTACCCAATCATTCTCGTTATGCTTTGCCTACTACTAGGGTTTAGTAGTGGTCCTCAATTGCCAGTGCAGCGGAAGGTTCATGTGTGTGCAAATCAATTTTTCGAGGCATGTGAGTCCAATTTCTGTCCGACCCCCCTTTCCACTGATAGCCGTAGCTGACATGAAAAAACCTAGGGTCCTGGTGGCCGGGATAGTGTGGATGGCTGAGGTACAGAGCACGTTCGATAAAATATATAACATTCCGGTCAACCATGGCGGCTTCCCTCCCGACGACGATCAGTCTCCTCAAACGCCAGTGTTTTAGGGGGCATGCGTAGAGAACGGTTTCTCCATTGTTTGTGCTTGCCTGCTAACATGCGAACCACTCCTGGCTAAAGGCCCCGTCCTTGCCTATAACGTCGATAGCTGGTGTTCCTCGCTTCTCAGCGGTATTGGAAGAGGAAGGGAAAGCGATGCAAGTAAAGAGCAGTCCTCAGCTCAACCCATTGTTTTGAATCAACTCGTGCCCAGATAGCGTATTCAGTCTGGTATTTTGCACCAAATCCACAATTTGCATAGGTCAGCGCCATCAAGAGAGAGGATCTAGATCTCGAGATGCTGCTCATCCAACAATTTGTGGAGAGCTTGGATGTGTGGAAAGGTACGGCTGCCTTTGGAACTGCGAATGTAGAGACAATGCATTGTGGTCTTTGACGCTTAATTGAGCTCTGGAGCTCCTTTGTCATCTGGATAGGGTATTAGGCCTTTAAGACCCGTCATGACTCTGCAACATTCGCACCGAAAGTTGAGAGGTAATTGGGCAGGAGCAGCATGGCAATTGATGAGTTTGGCAGATCTAGAATACTGGCAGAGCATTATGTCTGTGTCGAGATTGGCTGTAAGAGTGTATTACGTGGTATGGACGAGAGTGGAGAGCGGATTAGGCTCAAAGTCAAAGACAGCAGGTCCAAAGGATAGAACGGTGGCGCGAAAGGATTGGGCCAGCTGGTGCACTGCTGTGATACCACTACACATACCGAATTAGTCGATGATAGATTTTGTGTGGAAACCTTGAATGGGACTTTACTTACATGCGATATAAATTTGAAGATTTGTTGGATTGAGCACGGAGTTCAACGTGTTCAAATGTACACAGTCGTTCCAGTCTAGCTGCTCTTTGGGATCAGTATTATTTGTCAATGCGTTGTCGCCGAGGTAGAAGCGAATGAGCTGGTATAGCATAATATACGTCTGATAAATCCCATAAAATATTCCCGAGTCCCCGGAAAATCTGTTGCCCGTAACAGAAGGACAATGATTCCTTGTTGACATACGCGGTTGAACGAAAACCGCTGGGCACAGGAACGTGTAGATTGTACCGTCGGCGTAGAACGCGTGGATGGGCGTGGAGCGAGGGCCGCCCACAAGACACCTATGCCAAGGATCGTAGCCCAAGTTCAGATAACCGTAGAGTTTTGCAGAATCCTCGGTCACGCAGGAGAGACGAGGGGAAGAGAATGTATCTGGACGAGGTCTCAGATTTGCCTTGCCTCTGGAATTATAGATGTGATCTAAAATTGACACGACAGCCTTCTGAGCCTCGTCCTCCTTGAACATAGCCTGATATCCAAAATCGCTGTCCGTTCCCTCTAGCCGAGCATCGGCAAGGGCGGATTTTGCCAGCATTCTGGTTTGGGCGACTGTTTCGTAAATATCGAAAGTTCTGTCACCGCAGTTCTCCACAATGAAGTGATTGATGTTGGTCAGGTTGGCCACTTCGCCGGGGCCTGCATTGAGTGATTGGTTTAGACCAACCACTGGCTATTGTCAGCGTGGTCTTCTGGACAACGGAACCGAGAATGTTACTTGACGGCGTATGCAGAGAATTGATAGGTGCAATTATCGCCCCTGCTGTGAGTATCGCAGCCATGAACATCATGTTGCATGAAGGAGCGAGACGTTCTCGGGAAGACTGTGAGGATAGGCAAAGTGCATAGCAAGCTCGAACGCTTAAGAGTCTAACATTGATGTATGAATCAGAATTTGGGATATGCCAAAGTAACGTGGAAAGAAGTGGGGGATGAATGTGGGGAGGCAATAACACAGGTCCCAAAGACTTGAAACACATTGTGCCTATCGCATGCTAACCAACACGAGGCCGTCAAGTCGTTATGAGCCGCGTGAAGCGCATCATCCTGTCTTCATTCGCATTCCGCTGCCGCCCAACGGTAGCTTGAAGTGATACTTAGGTACAGATTCCTAAGGTAATCTAGCAAGATACATCCCGAGAGATCCATCCCATGCATTTTGAATTCTGAACTTGCCGCCATAATTAGATGGCAGCCAGCTACCAATGAATGTAATAAATCATCTATCCAAGAAACGTTCATGGCAGGACAACTGTTTTCCTCCCCCGGGTCTGTAAGCCCTTGATTTCCGATGGTGCGAATGGCCAGTGGTACGAAACATCCTGGACCCCTGGACCCCTGGACCCTGTCCCCCAAGCTGTCCTGGTCAACTGACCGTTTCTTTGCACCGACCTTACGAGTATGAACGACATGGCTGTTCTTCGCACACCTACCTTATTCAACTCTCCTACATTCTTTGACTAGTCACTCCTCTCCCTCCTGGGCCTCAGCGTCCGTCTGACTGACCTCGACCCCGCCATGGCCTCGATTGGCCTCGATCGCCCCACCATGGCCGACGTGCCTTCGATCCATAACAACGAGAAGGACGAGACACACGGTATGGACGCACCACCCGTCGCGCACGGTGTCGACGAGGAAGTCAGAACATCTTCGCCCAGCTCGGATGACTCCAATAAGCCCCTATTCGATAGCACGCACCGCAAGCTGAAGCCAAGGCATATACAGCTGATTGGAATTGGAGGGTATGTGAAGAAGAAAACGCTACTTTCGTGGAAGACGGATGCTGAGGATTGCTCCTTTTGCACAGGACAATTGGAACAGCGCTCTATGTGCAGATAGGTGCGTCGAGCTCACACCAATGCAATCCGAAGGTTGCCGACTGCGAGAACAGGTCACGGCCTCGTTCAGGGTGGTCCAGGGTCACTCTTCATCGCATTCGCCTTCTGGTAAGTCCTCCATCCCTGTCGACTCGAAAAAGATTGTTAGGAACATCCCAGAGGACACACTTCACAGACGTTGGATGGAAGAGGGAGCGTACCTTCTTGGACCCCTGTGTTTAAAACAGGAAGACTCCGTATCTTATCAACCTGTGATCTAGGTGTACATTCATATTATGTGTCACGATTTGTACGAAACCCAATTTCTCTTCTGTTCGTCGTGAATATGTGAGGGTGCCCGTTGGACTTAGACGATGAGATCGCTCCCACCGATTCTTCGGTAGCTTGACTATCGGAAGAAATCAGAAAGGACGTCTGTGAACTTGAATCCGTAAAACATGGCCCTATGACCGGCGAGACCTGAAGATACAGCGCAATATTGGAATTCGCAAAAGCAGCGTGTTCCTCAATATCACATGAAATGCTGACAAAATGACTGTTTAGCTATGGCTGAAATGGTCACTTACCTTCCCATATCCTCCCCCTTCATCCGCTTTGCTGGCCGATACGTCGACGAAGCCTTCGGTGTCGCTGCAGGATACAATTTCTTCGTCTTCGAAGCCATGCTCGTCCCGTTTGAAGTCGTCGCTTGTAATCTCATCATCCATTATTGGAGTGACGCCGTCCCAACAGGCGGGATCATTGCCATCATCATCGTCCTATATGGGTACATGCTCCTTTTGACATAGGGAAATCGAATCGCTAATAGCTCGAGATAAGATTTATCAATGTTTTTGCGGTGAAATGGTACGGCGAATCTGAGTTCTGGCTTGCCCTAGGCAAAGTAACACTCATTGTCGGCCTCATTGCCTACACCTTCATCACCATGCTTGGTGGCAATCCAAACCACGACCGTTTCGGCTTTCGCTACTGGAAGAATCCTGGATCGTTCGCAGAGCTTTATAAGACAGGCTCACTTGGCCGCTTTCTTGGATTTCTGCAATGCCTCATCCAAGCAAGTTTCACTGTCGCCGGTCCCGATTATGTCTCCATGGCGGCAGGCGAGGCCGAAAATCCACGGGTAGTGATGCCGAGGGCGTACAACAAGGTCTTTGGACGATTGATGGCCTTTTTTGTGCTCGGTAGCCTGGCTGTAGGAATCAATGTACCGTACACTGATCCAGAGCTTGTAGATGCATTTACAAGTTCGGAACCTGGAGCAGCAGCAAGTCCGTACGTGGTCGCTATGAATCGCCTTGGTATCAAAGTGCTGCCAGATATTGTCAATGCGCTCGTTCTGTCGGCAGCGTTCAGTGCAGGCAACAGCTATGTGTACTGTGCGAGTCGTAGTCTCTTTGGATTGGCACTGGATGGCAAGGCTCCAAAGATATTCACTAGGTGTACGAGGAGTGGCGTTCCGGTATATTGTGTGTTATTGGTGCTGGCGCTGAGCTTGCTGAGCTTCCTGCAGGTCAGCGTACGTTATAATTTCCGAGGCTACTCTTCCCCCATTCATGCAGTCTTATGAGTCGTCAAGCATGTCCAGAGAGTTCTGTGCTCCTAAGACATGTCTCGCGATTCAAAAAACCTCCCGAAAGAGTAATGCTGACTCCACAATCACCAAGTCTGGACCGGCAGTGGTGCTGCAATGGTTCGTCAATTTGGTATGTTGTATGGGTTATGCCTAAGTATTGCTCCAGGCTGAGATATATCAGGTCACCGCATCTCAACTGATCAATTTCTCGGTTATGTCCTTCACCTTCATCCGCTTCAAGAAGGCTTGCGATGCTCAAGGCCTATCAAGAGATTCTCTGCCCTATAAAGGCCGGTTCCAGCCTTACCTCGCATGGTACGCGCTCTCCGGTTGTTTCGTCATGACCTTTGTTGGAGGCTATACCGTATTTCTGCCCGGACAGTGGAGCATTCCAACATTCCTCTTTTCGTATACAATGATTGGTGTCTTCCCGATCCTCTTCATTTTCTGGAAATTTTATAAGAAGACGCGATGGCTAGAGCCCAATGCTGTTGACCTGTTGAAGGACGTTGATATGATAGAAGAATACACGAGAGACTATGTGCCGAGGCCTTCAAAGTCAGCAGACAAAATTTGTGGCGAAGTGAATCGATACTGACAGAGACTTAGGAACAAATTCTTTGTCCTCCTTGATAAATTTTACAATTAAGACGGCGGAAGACAGTCAGAGACTTTGATAGATGCAACGCTGCGAGACTTGATACTCCAATTGTAGAAGGATTCAGAAGATTCTAAGTCAATGCACATGACGAGAACGTTCCATTCGATGGATGTAAGCAAATGCATTCAGTAGATGATGGTTCGACAACGTACGAAGTGTAGTCACGTATGATATCAATGGCCCACAAAAACCAACACCAAATTTGGCCAAAATGGCACCTAGCGGAGGTCCCTCCGCCCCGCCAAAGAACCTCCATTTCCGAACTCCTTCAGCACCCCCCTCCCCCCCTCCTCCCTTCAGCAACAACATGGCATCAACCACTCAATCCCAACCTCAAACCAGTACGCCCCCACCGCACTCTCCAACACGTTCCTCCAAATAGACCCCTCCACCACATCCCACATGTATCCCAGCTGATAACAACAAACAGTCGACCTCTCCTCCCTCCCCACGGCCCAACTCAACAACGTGAAAAACCAGCTCACGCAAGAACTGCAGCATTTGACAACATCATTTAGTCAGCTCAAGGCCGCGCAGGGGAAGTTCAGGGATTGTGGCGTCAGTGTTCGGGATGGGTTGGGGAGAGACGAGGGTAGGTTGGGGTTTTTTTTGTTGTGAGGGACGGGGAGGGGGAAGGGGAAAGGGGATCGGGCGGGATCGTCGGTAGTAGGTAATTGGTACAGATTTATGGAGAGGAGGGCAGTCAGATGGGGAGGTCCGAGATGAGGATAGTGGGAGGGAAGGAAAGAGTGCAGAGGGATGGGAGGCACGAATGCTGATGAGCTGGTCCACCACAGGCACACCCATCCTCGTCCCTCTGACACCCTCACTCTACGTCCCAGGCAAATTGGCATCTACAGATGCGGTCCTAGTGGATATCGGAACGGGCTTCTACGTTGAGAAGGTTTGTCGCCTGACCACACAGGTGTTGGGAGGAGTATCCGAACTGATCTCATTACATCCAGACACCACCAGCTGCGCGCGAGTTCTATTCACGGAAAGTCGAGGAGCTGGGGAGGAACCTGCAGGATCTTGAGAGGATCGTGCAGGGGAAGCAGGGGAATTTGGGTGTTGTCGAAGATGGTGAGTGCACGCTCGTTGCTTTCATATTTTTGGGTGAAGGGAGGAGGAAATGGTTGCAAAGTGGCTGACTGAGTGTACTTGTAGTTTTACGACAGAAAGTAATTAGCGAAAGCAGCAACAGTGGAGACGACGGTGGGACGTGAAGATGCTGCATGTCAAGTGATATTTGATGTGCTAATCTAAAGCCAACGCCTGGGCCAAATCCGGACTTACCATCTCCTCCGGGATTTGATGTGAATCGTCATGTCTATTTACCAGCCGCCGACCTACCCTCTGAGATGGGGCAGCTCTTTCTTGATGCAGTCAATGAATTTGGTGACGACTTCCACATTCTTCAAGAAATCTATCACCCGAGGATCCGCTCCTCCCACTCCTTCCATATCGACAGTGCCAGGTCTCGACGGAAAGAAAGTCTCGAGGTTTGGGTCCCATCTAGCTGCTTCACCAATGCTTAAGGTGGAATTGAGCCTGAGAATGGAGTCCCAGTTTGTGTTATATAGTGTAGCGCCCCAATTCGTCTCCGCCGGGACGTTTTCGTTCTTTGGATCACCATAGTTGTCGTACCGGGCAAGCTCGAACTCCCACTCAGGTTGATGGGCTAGTCGATATCTCATAGCTGTCTTTTGCTGGAATGTCGAGGGCTGCATAATGCCTGAGAGATCTTTCTTCCATGTGAACACTTTTTGGCCAGTGAGCTCAGTCCTGGCCTTTGGAATCTTCGATAGCTTGACACTCTCCGCGAATTCTATCATTTGAGGATTGATTCGACTGGAGTCGATACTGTTTTCGGAAGAGACGTTAAGCTTCCAAGAAACCCCACTGTCAACCTGTCAGTAAGGCGTTTGGGGGCGAAATCTGGATAACATACCTATCAAGTCTAACCATGAATGCTTCCAAAGGAACCGCAATGCCTCGACGATCCGTCCTTATCCACAGCTCTTGGACTTTTTCGTAGATGGTTGGAGCCGCGGAAGTACTGCTCATTTCGAGCGTGAAGTTCATTGATGGGCTATTCGGGTTCCTGAATTCGAAGCAAGCGCTGAAGGACGGCACAACCTCTTCAAGAGAAGTGCTGGAGCTGTCCATCGGTAGGAAAAGATCGGTGGCCTTTTGGACTTGGGCTATGATCGTCGTTGCGTCTTTCTTAATTTGTAGACTAGATATCAAGATAAATAAAGCACTGGAATATATTCAGAGGTTGACTTACTCTCTAATCATTACGCCCTTCGTCTCTGACATAGTCGTATTATTCATGAAATCTTCAAAGGGAATGGAATCTGCCCCTTCCTTCCAACGGAATACTTTCAATGCGAATGTCCCAAATTGAATGCGCATTCGGACCAGACCACGGTAGTGAGGTAGATATCCAATGCATTTCCGTAGTGATAGCTCCATGCGGCGATTGTTCTTCATCGTTAATTCATTACTCTCATTAAGCCATTCGTTGCGAGCCTCCCGGTCCAGTGTACTCCCCGTCAACACAGGAATCATGCTCATGGCTAACTTCGGATCGCTGAGGGAGGCAGGAAGTACCTTGACATCTTTCCTGATCGCTGATGGATTTGGTGGCTCTACCAGAATTATTATATCAGGTTGGGCGATCTTTGCAACGTACTCTCTCTTCGTCCCTTCAATACGATCCATAGTCCTTTTCACAGACTCTTCTTTGTCGCTGAAGATCCTGAAGGATGAAAGTTTGTTATCGAAGACGATGTGGCATTGGTATTGGAAGCGAATGGGATCGAATGCCTCCAAGCTCGAACCTAGAATATCTTCCGGCCGTACCTCGTCGATTGGCCATAGAAAAGTACCTGTATATGCGAAGATCCGGTCTTCTGCTGGCACTTGTTGGAACTCTAGAATCTTTGTCTCCTTCTGCATCTTCTTATTCGATCGGTGATACTGATCACCTATACTTGATGTCTCCCTGGCGAATTTTTCCTTGGCTGACTTTTGCGGAAAGCCAATGAAGCGATTGACAAGCCCTTGAAGCTCGGCTTTGGTGGCCTGAATTTGACGAGCGTCTCCCCACAGAAGAAGCTCACGATCCTTCGCGTGCTGAGGTGGGCGGATGAACGATCGCAGACGAACACCGATCTCGTCGAACATATCGTACATTCTCTTTTGATTCGGCTCAATTTCAGAGCAATCTTTGGGTAGCATGAATGTTCCTGTAGGGTCTAGTCTCTTCCGGAAGGCGGCCCTAGCTAGGTTATCTCTGTTGTAGTTGAAATTGACCCGTCGATGTGCTCGACGCTGACCTGAGGGCTTGCGGTGAGGGTAGGGTTTGAGTTGAGCTGGCGGTCGCCCATGAGAACGTGCATTGGATTGGGAGCCTTTGTTGGTCACAGGTTGAAACACATCGTCTGCCATGGTCCGGGAGCCATCTCCGAAAACTTGCTGGCTTTCATCATAATCTGAATCGTAGTAATCGTCATCGTCAGAGCTCTCAGATGAGAAGTCAGCTTGCAGTCGTCTCTTCGGATCCCACTCCCTCGCATTTTTGATCTCATACGGGATGTCTTCCTTCTGCTTCGGAGCTGATTTTGAGTGAGCCTGGATTTTGGACGGGACACGGCCATTGGGAGCTGACGACAGCACAGACTGAGAATTTGATAAGCTCGGAAAGGTAGGGGCTGGCCGTGTGGGATATTGAGGGTTCTGTGAATCACTATCCTTGGGAACTATCTGGGATGCAGGCTGGTATCTCGATAGACCTCGGCCGTTTGAAGCTGTCTGTGATGGAAGCTGAGCTTTTGGCGAAGCTCTGCCACTGGGGCCTGCTTGTAACAGAGCCTGATTCTTCTGCGTGTGACGGTCCACCACATGCCAGGGCTCGTCGGAGGGTTCGGTTGGTGACATATTGTGTGAAGTTGCTCAGTGTTGATGAAAACCGGAGAACCAGGTCCCAAGATGGTGAAATCCAACAGTATAGTGATGTGGTCAAATCTGACGAAGTCTCTGCAAAAGGCCTCTTGGCAATCCTTTGCTTGGAGGTACTTGAGTTCAGGTAATAGAAGATACACTTCTGGAGTTGCTTGGACCAGACAAACAACCGGAAATGTTAGGCTTGTATTGAGGTGATTGATGTTAAAAGGTACACTTCACAGTAAATAACAGAGGTCGAAGCGGCCAGGTAGGTGTCACGCTGTTGGATGAGTGGCTTCCGAGATCGGATCAGCTCCAATAGGAAGCACCAATGCTACTGCGGATGTTGGAGTGAAGTTGGCACTTGCTTGCTCGCTCAGATCTCAGCTTGGGTGACAAAGATTGAGACTGACAAGTTAGCGTCACAGCACTGAAGAAATGAGTTTGGAAAACAAACCGACTCGTACAGTGAAGCGCGGATGTCACTGCAGGTTTTGGCGTAAAGTGAGCTTTCATTTCTCCGTTCAAGATTTAAGCTTGAATGATATTGATGAGGGTAACAAACAGCGATCACAGATTAGAACGGGAAACTTTTCGAGCACAGGCCAGCTCGACCAGTGAAGCCTTATAGTTGCTGCGGATAATGATGTGAACTCCGCTCTCACTTATGCATTAATTGCTCTCATTGGAACCTCGAACCCAAAACCTAGGAGTGTGAGCAGGTCTGGAAAGGTTGCGTGGGAAATGTACGGATGGTGGTGGCAGAGGAGTAAAGTTGCCGGGTTATTTGTGTAAAATGTAGTGGTGAAAGCGGATGTTGTAGCCACCAAGGGAATGAATGTCGACGGTGATTTCAGATGCTGAGGGTGAATGCTGAGGGTGAATGCTGAGGGTGAATGCTGAGGGTGAATGCTGAGCAAACCGCTTTCCACAGGGTCTCAGACCAATTGGCTGGCAATTTTGAGAGTGTGACGTGTACTGCTGGCAATTTGAGCGGATACTTGCATTCTTCTGTTCCGTTAAAAAATCAAGTACGC